CATTGCTAACGGTCAGCTCTAGTTGAAAATTGTGACGCCTGGCGTCTCAACACCAACCATGCTGTCTCCTTCTTTGAAAATAGCTACAGGGCCGCTCTCAAGGACAAGAGACAGAGGAGGAAGTACTGCAATGCTATGCCATCAAGTGAAGGACCGGGTTTTCAGCTGCAACTACAACAACCGTGTATGCATGTCCCGCATTGGATTATCAGTCACAAACGTGCCTGCAAGCGACGTGTACAGACTCGATCTTGATCTTCGTTTTGCGAAGCCAATCCATGATGAATTATATATATATATATATATATATATATATGTGTGTGTGTGTGTGTGTGTGTGAGAGAGAGAGAGAGAGAGAGAGAGTGAGTGAGTGAAAAGTGTCATTTATTACAAGCTGGTGGAATATGGAACGACTACATATATTTAGTGCCAGCAACATGGTCAGATAAACGAAGCATTATTTTGAAAGTTTTGATAAACAGAAAAGGACACACGGCTCAGTGGATAAAAGCGTTGGTTGAGTGATCCATAATATGAATTGAACCAAAGAGTTGTGAGTTCAATACCTAGCCACGGCAGAAGGAACAAAAACTTGGAGAATTGAGTTACTAATTAACTGATACTAACGTATCTAAAAAGTCCTGGCACGTAGAATTAGAACAATACCCCCCCGTGGGCTAAACAAAAGCTTCGGTTCGAAATTCCAACGTATATCACCGGAAGAAGGCCGGAGTGTACAACGACTGAAACTTCATGAATATAACAATAAAGTTGAGATGTAAATAGTGTAAATAGAAAAGATGTTAATCTCCAGTTCGACAATTCAAGGACACACAGTGAACTCACTTATTTAAAAAAAAAAACAATACAATAAAATAATTAAGTTTCATACACATCCTCTATACTTCCATTGGCCTACATATTTTCATCTATTTCAATCATTACAACGTTTCATAAGCGAACATAATATACAGAAACAAAATCTTTCAAACCTTTTTTTCGGTGAAAATTTCATTAAATGTGGGCTCAAACTTTGGCATTCCTGTGAGACTGCATTCATTGAAAATGACGGCGATTACTTTTTTGCTAAATAAAATTGAATTAATATTGATTTAATAATTTAAATTTTTTTTTATATCTTTCCTGTTAAAACGTAATTACTTTCCGAACATTCTAATAAATATATATCTTTTGGCAAGATGGCTGCCGTAATGATTTTCCTTTAGTACAAGTAATCATTAACCAATCCTTTGGTATCGCTTTCTTTTAGGTCTACTGAAAGCACATTTTACTCCCTACTGTATTCATGTGCTGGCGAATATTGCAACATCCAAGAGATATGGAAATCTATGACAATCAACTTCTTGACCGGTGCCAATAAATCTACCTACCTCATTAATAGTTCCCATCACAGTACATCATTTTTATATAGATATATGTTGCTTTTGCTTCCTCGGGGATGTGCTTTTTGTGGTTTTTATTGCTCTGTGCGCATGCGTGATTGCAAGGTCGCACCTCCACAATTTGAATATGCTCATAGGTTCACGAAATACTGCGTCGCCAAAAATAGTCACTTCCTTTATTTTATGCAGATAGATATGAACAGAACGATGTTGGTAGATAGGAACAGACTGAAGCAAAAATAGATAGATAGATAAATAGATAGACAGACAGACAGACAGAAAATCATAGTAAAATAGATACCTGTGGTGATATGATGATCAGAATTCCTGTTGAGCAATTTGTTAGTTTGCGGTGGGTAAATTTTCCTCTAAATTACGCAAAAATAGAAATAACACTGACATCTCATTTTAACAGATATTTACTAGAATTACACAAGAAATATCTTGAAATACTAGAGTAAATTTATTCAATAAAATTGCCATTGGCTTCCAGCATAACCTCCAGACGACTTTGGAATCTCCTGCATCTCTTCTGGATAGTCTCCTTGTTTAAGTTGGTGAATGCTGACATAATCCTTGCCTTCAGTTCATATTTTGGTGTTACAAGGAGTTTTGTTGGTCTCTCTCTCTTCAACTGTACCCCACACATAATAATCAAGGGTGTTGCAGTCTGGGGAGTTAGGTTGCCAGATATAAGGGTTGATGTGGTCGCAGAAATTCTCTGATAACCATGATTGGGTTCTCCTGCTTGCGTGGCACTTGATTTAGGCCTCCGTGTTGAGTCTGAGAGGCCCTTATCCATAAACTTGGGAGTTCTTTTCAGAGTGCGTTTTCCGAGCAGCCATACATTTGTAATCGCCATTAGACATCCAGCTCTTTCCGAATCCTCTGCACTGTCCTCAGATTGACACAAAAACACTCTAAAATGTTCGTATTCAAGCAGTACAGAATACCGTTTCCAAACCTCTGGTGGAGAGAATTGCGCCAAGGTTCCTTTTTGTCACAGACGGTGCCCAACTGACCCTACTATGCTGTGCTGTGGATAAAAATAAAACAAAGAACGTGTATGCACGAAATAAAACAATATAAAATGGCGACGATTTATCCATCGCATCAGGTGTGTGTGTGTGCATACACGCATGAACACGCACGAGCGCGTACACACACATACATACACATATATATATATTCATATATTAACTAACGAAACAGCAAAATGAGACTAGATGCAAATCTCATGCCAAACGATCATCAAACGAGAACTACTACTTCTTGTCGCCTGACGATCGCCCTGCGTTGAACTCGAAGTAACGAGTCGTCTCTTTGTTGTGTTTGGTTGGTTTGTGTAACAGCTTTATTTGGCTTATTACCTACATAGCTGTACCTCTTTTCACTTTTGTGTCCTTTTTACGTTTCCTTTTCTTTCTTTCGTTGTTTTTAATTTTTTGGTAGTGGGCGGGGATTCTTTTTCTTACAGGTTTCTCCGTTATTGTTGATAGAGTTTTATTTGGAAGCTTTACCAATAATTTGGTTTGTTTATACGCACACAAACACACCCACACTATACACACACGCACACACACACACACATATATATATATATAATTATTTATTTAAAAATATGATTCTAACACGCTACATAAGAGTTCTCATGTTTCAAAACAAGAGCCGAAAACTTCAATATAATTATTTGAATTAAATTGAATATGTTCTACTTTGGTATCGAGCACTATTTTTTTAAAATAATAACAAAAATACTAAAGAAGTTTGGATTATTTACCTAACGAGTTCTTTCCTATTTTCTATATATTTTCACACACACACACACACACACACACACACACACACACACACACACACACATATATATATATATATATATATATATATATATATACTAATAAACTTATAAATGTAAGCAGCTATACTCGTTCGGCAAAACTTGGTGTTTTAGCTTGTGAATGAACAAACACCTAAGTGAAAAAAAAGGGTAAAAAAAGAAAGAACTAAGAAATGTACTTCCGGCGAAAATAATTATCTAGAATCAAAGTTCAGAGTCCAAAGAAAAAAACCTCCGACACGGGTAAAGTAAAATAACTAAGCAAAGTGCTCAATACGCTAAGTAGAGCAAAATAAGTAAATAATTAAATAATAAATTATTAAATAATCGATCCGCGTAGGTGAAACCTAGGTAGGTTAGTCTGGCTCTCTAGGTTATTTACTTATATATATATATATATATATATATATATATATATACAGATAGATAGGTTGATTAGACTGGGCATCTTCAGTCACTTTTCCATCGGTGTGACGTGGCTTCCCTGCACATTTTCTATAAATATTTTCATGGCAGTTGTTTTAATAAGCTTTCATCCTTTTTTTTTATTCCTCGTCCCACAGTCAAATTGTAGATATTGGGACTAGTTTGGATTTCATAGAGACTCTGAAGTATTATGGTAGCTGTTGTAAAAATGGCACGTTAGGATATAGTATTTTGGTGCAAGTAATATTGTAGTTTCTTTGGGTCAGTGTTTGTGGCTAGCTAACTTTAAGACAAGACAAATTGAAGACCAGCCTTACCTCACCCACCATTTTGGCCTTGTGCGACATTTTCGTATTACTACACAAAATAATTATTGCTTTCCTCGTTAATATCCTACTGCATGAATTTAGACGTGGTTTTAAACTGGCAACTAGATTTCATCGTTTTAAGGTTGAACTAGTGAGATATAGCCATCAGCTCTATTCTAATAGTTTATTTGCGCGCATCTTTCGCCTGTGAAATTCTCCTCCGGCTTCTTGCTTTACTGTCAACTATGATCTTTAAGTAGTTAAATGCAACGTCAATCGCCATCTTCTGTCTGCCCGAAATTTGTATTTTTTATTGTCCTTTCTCCTAATTAAAGTTTTCTAATTATTTTTCACTCTCAGTGACCCCTGACATCTTAGTAACATACTTAGTCTAAATGACAAATCCTTTCTTAAATGATCAGTTAATATGTGTGTGTGTGTGTGTGTGTGTGTGTGTGTGTGAGAGAGAGAGAGAGAGAGAGAGAGAGAGAAAAAAATTGCTGATTTTCAGATGTCACTTCAGCGAGCAATCAATCGTTTGTTTATAGATGTTAGCGCGGAGTGTAGGTACACATACCAACAAGTTTCTGGTACAATCACACCCCTCCTTACCAAAAAAGGAAATCTTTACTTGGTAACCTTATAAGGTGTCATATTTATTTCCGATTTGAAATCTTTGTCAGAGTGTCGCTTGAAAAGTAGAAGCTAGACGTTTGTTTTCCTTGGACTGGTCTTTGCTGGGACGAGTGTCCGCAAGTCTGTGTACAAACGAGTGCGCAGCGAGATGTGACGGCAGTCAACAAACGCTTAAGTGAAAATCGCTTATCGGCAATAAGAGACAAGCGTCCACAACGAGTAAACATCTCTCTTTCTCTCTGTTCATTATCTATCTATCTGATTCTGTTCATATCTATCTATCTATCTATCTATCTATCTATCTATCTATCTATCTATCTATTTGATTCTGTTTATATCTATCTGATTACGTTAATATCTATCTATCTCTCTATCTATCTATCATAGGCTTACATGTGTATTTTATAGTCATGGAACTCACAAGGAGTTTGTCTATATTTCTGAGATGAGGTATTATGTACATTATTTACATTATTCGGACTATTGCCCTCATCTTTGTCGCCATATTTATCACAACATTTCGGCAGTTGTAAGTTCCGGCCTTCTTCAGGTGGTTGGAATGTTGAACTTTTATTTCGCTCACTGGGGTAGACTGTTCTAGTTCCACGTGCCATGTTTGATGGATGTCAGTTATCAGTTATCTCCTGCTAATTTCCCTCTGAAAGTTCTCCACTGCCTTAACCGCATTGAACTCACACTCTTTGGGTCTTTCACTGGATCTAACCAACGCCTTTTATCCACTGTGCATGTGTCCAAAGCCATGAGTTCAATACCCCAGTTAAGGCAGTGGAGAACTTCAGAGGAAATTAGCAGGAGATAACTGATAACTGACATCCATCAAACATGGCACGTGGAACTAGAACAGTCTACCCCAGTGAGCGAAATAAAGGGTTCAGATCAACATTCCAACCACCTGAAGAAGGCCGGAACTTACAACGGCCGAAACGTTGTGATAAATATGGCGACAAAGATGAGGGCAATAGTCCGAATAATGTAAATAATGTTCACAAGGAGTTTATACATTTATTAAATATTGTGACATATCAATAAAATTAAAATAAGAAAACCGTGAAACAGGGTAGTATCAATTAATATCTGGATTGAAATTCTGAAGCAATATATGTGTACTCGCTTTAATCTCTCAACTAGTTGTTGATCAATTAAGAATTTGCTATATTTCTTTCGTATTTTTTTCATAGTGTTGTCTGCATCAATTCACAGGCGATCGATTTTCCCTGCTGGCCCGGTAGTCGGCTCATGTCTACTGAAGTGAGAGAGAAATCAAACGAATGAGAAAAATAATCTCTGTGTGCGATATTATACCAACCCAACTAATTTTTCTGTTATGAAATCAATGAAGTTTTATTTTTCTTCTGAATAAAGGTATTTACAAATTTGGATAGAGTTGCCGTGATTCTGTATAAAATTACTTGAGTGACTAAATTGTATATGTGGTTGGCCTTGGCAGTATCTCGTGTTGGTAGATATATTTACTTGAACATTTATTATAATAAAAAATAAAGACAAGAATTTGGAAGAATATAAATAAAGTTTTATTTTCTAGAAAGAGAACATGCTAACAAAGTCGAACCTAAAAAGGAAAGCTACTGGATGTTACAAAAGCGGTCTTTCCTCACAAACTTACGTTGCCAAAGGATGTGTTATCCATGTGATCGACGCCTACCTGAAAAAATGTTCTCTGCACAAACTGGGTTTCACTGACATACAAAGCTTGGTGAATAGTAATTAGCGAAGAAGAAGGGAAGTTTATCCAACCCTTTTATTTGAAGTACATATATTTGATGAGGAGACACAGTGGAGTAGTGAATAGCGGCTCGGATTGAGAAATCGGTAGAGCAAAGTTCGAATTCCAGTCGGATCCATTACATTCACTTACGTTCACTTACATTACATTCAATATTGCTTGGGAAATATATTAATCCTCTCCAGCTATGGGTAAATGGCAGGACAGACTGGGTTCTATAGCCTTGGATGGCAACTGGTCTAGGAGAAGGACAGTTCTGAATTCAAAACCTGCGGAGGGTCATTTGGGGACCCTGTGGCACGTAGTGCTCCAGGTCTATGTATTCGGCCTTTCAAAAAGTGTGGATGGTTCTGCACGAAACCTTCACCACTATAATCAAAGCAAAATGGTTTCTGGCTGTCGGTTCATAGCAACTGAGCTGATTGACCCTCATACATCGAATAAGATGGGAGAGTTCATCATATATTTGAGACACGGTGGAGTAATGGAAGGCGGCTCGGATTAAGGAATCGGAGAGCCGAGTTCAAACTCCAGTCGTTCTAATAACCTTGGGAAAAGTATGAATCCTCTTCTCCCCATTCTGGGTAAATAGCAGGAAAGATTGAGGTCTATAATCTTGGGTAGCAACCGGTCTAAGAGAAGGAAAACTCAGAATCCAAACTGGCCTGGTTGGGCACCGTCAAGAAACGCCACTTCTACCCAAGAAACACCACTTCTACTTTGGCTGCAGTACATGTGTTGCCTCTATGACCCTAGTGGGTCGTGGGATTTGAAGCACATATGTTTGGATAGAAGTCCTCAAGTTTTAGATAAAGCTACATCTGGTTTGAAACACTAAAAGCAAACAAACAAATCGTAATAGTAATGGTAATATTAGCCGTTTCCTTATAAGGAAACATTTCGCATTCATTGACCAATATTACTATCGGTTGAAATTTACAAAATTTTTCTCTTAAAACAATTTTTTTTCAGAAAAATAGGTTTGTTAAGTCCAGTAGCTATTATCGCTCTTTCCAAGACTGATGGGGGGGTCATTCCTAAGCTCTTATTTGAAGTAGTGTGAAATGTTAATATCTTGATTATATCATTATTTTCTCTTTTAAGTACTTTTAAGTTTGAATAACTTAATAATAGCAATTAATTGAATATGAAACAACAAATAAACAAAAATACAGCATCGTAGAAATTTTCCGTGTTTTATACCAAGAGTGAAATAAAATATGATCTTAGATTTGAATATCACATTTATATTATTAAATAGTTGTCTACAAAGCTGGCCTAACATTTATCCACATGAAATAATGGGATGAGCGAACTGAGTTCAAATTTTAATAGATGTAGTTTATGCTCACTTTATATTCATCCGAGCCCCTAAATTCTACATTTGTACTACAACAAACTAAACTTTACTGAGTTCAATCATTCATCAGGTCCATAAATTTGTGTCCTGTGAGGGAGGGAGGTTAGCAAGAAAGAGAGATAAAGAAAAACGTAAAGCCAACGTTAGCGTATGTACGCACCTGTATGGAAATATTTCTGTATGCATAAATATTTTTATATAAAATAATTAAATAAATGGAATGTGTAATTAAGTAACATAAAATCAACAAATAAATAATTGATAAGACTGAATATCACGGGTATGTGATCGTTGATCAATAATTACGAAATTATATATATATATATATATATATATATATATATATATATATATATATATATATATATATATATATATATTGTTGGCACCCGCTCGCATCCGAGCATTGAGATCTTCATTCTCTTTTCTTATTCCCTTATTTTCCCCTGGTGGCAGTCAGCGGAAATGGCTGTGAATCAAATAGATTTTAACGAGGCCATTCGCTCAAATTTGATTTTGGTGGACAATTTTGCACAATGGAGAAATCCACACATTTGGCCAGAAGCGCTCTCCTCAAAAGAGGATTGAAACAGGGGTTAGATCTGATTGAATCGGGCTGTCGGATGCTTGATCTGTCATAGTTCGCCATGTTTACGCCATCCCGACGCACTCTGTCTTCTTCCGCCATAAAACATGTATATGTGTACATATATGTGTAGATTATTGATACTATGGGACTACCAAAGTATGAACTTGGTATCTTTTTAGAATGCAAATTTATGAAGTGCTAAATTTGACAAATTGTGATATTTTGAAATGAAAAAATGATACCAAATTTCCAAGAGGCCATAGCTCCTTAACTAAGTATTTAAGGAAGCTGAAATTTTATTTTTTTTAGTTTGACATAAGTGGGTATAACATACTTAAATCTAATAAAAATCTGAGATAATGCACATGGGACCATTAGCTGAGCTACTATGCAATTACACACACACACACACACATTTTTATAAATGTAAAAGACAATAGGAAAACTGTAATAGTTGCCGACGCGTTTTGTCCGATATGGACTTTCTCGAGACAAAACGAAATGAATTTATTAAACGAAGTAGCTAATAATAAAACAAAATATCCTTAGCAACTGGAAAAATTTAGAGAACGCTATTTTCATACTGTTAACTGAAATTACGTCATTTACTGTCACGTGTGGGGATATTGTCTTTAGTGCTGTATTGGCAGATTCAACCATTTTTCTTTTGATTTCTTGATATTGTTCTGTACGTTTGTTTGGGAGAGAAGTAATTCTGTTAAGAAAAGTGAAATAGGGAAAAAAGCCTGGGCGTAGATTAATATTTGGGTAATATTCAATGGCGGCACTCTCGAGGATTTTCCTCGAGAAAGTCCACATCGGACGAAACGCGTCGGCAACTATTACAGTTTTCCTATTGCCTTTTTCATTTATAAATATTGTCTTTTTCTACAGGCTAACTCTGAGAAATTTTTCACACACACACACACACACACACACACACACACACACATACATATATATATATATATATATATATATATATATATATATATTAATGTAGTAGGGCAGAAATCTCTCTTTTATACAAGTTTCAGTGAAAACGACTGACAAGTTACTGCGGTTAAGTTTTTTATTTAATTTTTCATGTGTTTTTATAATTTTCTTCCTTTCTGGACATAAATTATATATAAATTGTCTAAGCGTTTTGTATGTCCGAGAGCTTTCGGCTATGCTTTTAGCCATTATCAAGGATGAACTTTATTTTAACTGAATGTATGGATTGATTTATGCATGCATCTAGAGTTATAGGAATATTTTATATTCCAAATACGGTCAGCACATTGTGACCGTGTTCATAGTTGATATCACTGAGTGTGACATGCCACTGAAGGATGTTGAATGTCATGGTTCTCCACAAACTTCATGTTCCTTGCCGCTTTTTGCAATCCTTATTCTGCTAACCATTTATACATGCTAGTTAGGTAGGCCATTCGCTGCTTACATCTATATCTCTTGACTTCGGCATATCCTGTTAGTCATAAAGCCCTCTTTCCTCACTATGTATCACAGAAATTTCAATTCTTTCTTTCTGATTCTAACTATGTGCTTTTTTCTCATTTTCTCTACAACTTTATCGTTGCTCACATGTTCAGTTCATAATTTTCTCAGCGTCCTTCTGTAGAACCCCATACCTATTGCTAGTGAGGAGATTTTCTAGCTTTCACTTCCAT